TCGATCCTCAGCACCACATACAAACAAAGATGTTGTGTTCGCCAATAACTAAAAAAAAAATATTAAAAAATTCTCTCCCTCTCTCTTTAAAAAAAAAGAAATAAAAAAAAATAAAGGTCCCTATAACATGCTAATAGGCTTTATATTACACCAGTTTTTTTACCGTGAGATTGTTCAACTGAGTGCTAGTCTTTTTGCTGTGCTATTTATTATTCTCGGAGACRCTAGAGAACATTCACTGAACCCTATCAACGTTAACATTCACCTAGATCGACTAGTTCTGGTACTTCTACAATAGCATATGTGATTAGTTTGGTATGATTTTCTTATGTGACACTTTTCATGGAAGTGTCAGATGTTCACTGATGCCTTTTGTAATATCTGACAAAACCTATATATATATATATTAAGCTATTCTGCTTTTTTTTTCTTTTAAAAGATCTACAACAGGGCTGGGGTTGTGGCTCAGAGGTAGAGTGCTCACCTAGCATGCATGAGGTAATGGGTTCGATCCTTAGCACCACATAAAAATAAAATAAAGATATTGTGTCCACCTATAACTAAAAATAAATATTTTTTTAAAAAAAAATCTACAACAGACTCTACACTTTTAATTTCTTGAATTCCTCATTTTCTGTTTTTGAACATTGGAATATTAGCCACTTACAGGTCTTTGGTACATTTGCTAGTAGAATTTCATAATTACATCTACAAATCTATTTTATTTCAGGGAAGTAATTTATTTAACTTTGGATTTAAAATCTAAGGCAGCCAGTCTCTTCATTTGTTTTGCATTTTGATCAGTCTTTTTTATCTTTTAAAATCATTTTCTTAAGAGAAAAGATGTAAGCAAAATAGAAGATAAATAGTTTTATTTCCTTCCTGCAATCTTTGTCACGCTAACCAGCCAGGCTTTGATCGCAACCTTTCCCTATTCTTGTTAGGTCTAGACACAGTTGAAAAATAAAAACAAAAACATGGTTTGTCATTGCCATCAAGAATGGCATTTTTTTTTTAATA